ATAAATAATTAAATATGTTTATAAATATTATTCACTTTCAAAAAGTTCAATAATTTGTCAAGATTTGGCCTCTAGCCCAAAATCTCTCTCAGACTTGCATTTCCAAAATGCTGTCTATGACTTTGATCAAAAGCTGTGCAGTTGCAAAGCATGTGTTTTACACTTAAAAAGCAGTTGCAATGCTCGCATACTGGCTGGTCTTCACCCTTCAAAAAATATTGATGAGTCAACCGAGTATGCCCAATTCTCAAACGCGTAAGAATTACTTCAGATCTCCTGTCATACTGTTTATTATGTGTCCAATTTTCTATATTTGGCTTGATCTCATGTACTTTATTGTGGACTTGTGCGTTCCACACGTTTTGCCATTGCTCTGCTAGTCATTTTTTAACTACTAGCTTCAAATCACTTCCGTCAATACACATTTCATGCTGTGAAGGATTAGCTGCCTTTGCAGCTGCATCAGCTTCTTCGTTCCCTCTTATGCCGACATGCCCAGATACCCAACAAAATTTTATAGAGAGATTCCTCGTATAAAAATGGCAAATAAAATTATGAATTTTAATCACTATAGAGTAAGAACTAGGTTCGCACGAGATCAAAGCCTGAAGAGTCAGTGTAAATCACACAGCAACGATGACCTTTCCTATTTATATATTTTAAAGCTAAATAAATAGCATGCAACTCTGCAGAAAAGATGGAAGAATTTGATGCAATTTGTTCTGCCATGATTTCATCCTAACAGACGAAGGTTGAGCCAACGTAATCATTAGATTTAGATCCATCTGTAAGAATAGGAATTAAATTCCTTTCACGATGTTGAATTTCTGCAAAGTGCTGTCTGTAGACATAGTCTGGTGTGGATTCCTTAGGAAATTGCTCTAAGCTAAGGTCAACATTTATCAAAAAAGTTGACCAAGGTGATATACTACAGACCTCTACCTGTGAAAGGTTGCATGTGTTCAGATCAATCGTGGTGCTCGCATTCTCCATTCTTATAGAAAATGTGGGGACACTATTTGGACTAGCTTCTAATAACGTTTTCACCTGAGCATCTAATACTGTACAATAAACTGAAGGTTTACTGAGAGATTTTTGTTTTATATAATAAAAAAAAGACAACTGTTCTCTCCTGAGATAGTGGAGGCTCATAAGCATCCACATACAAACTTTGTACAGGAGAAGTTCGAAAAGCACCAGTGCACAAGCGTAGTGCTTGATGATGAATAGGATCCAGCATCTGAAGAGTAGATTCCCTCGCAGAGCCATAAACAATGTATCCGTAATCCAGCTTTGAGTGGACAAGAGCCCTATAAACATTTGTCTGCTCCCCAGGATGAGCAGCACAGTACCTTTAAAAGGTTTAGAGATTTTAGACATCTACTCTTCAAATTGCGCAAGTGTGCTAAAAACGTCACTTTAGGGTCAAATGAAACTCCCAAAAACTTTGCCTCATTGACCATTGGAATTTTAACCCCATTTAAATAAATTTCTGGATCCAGGTGAATACCATGCCTTCAGCAAAAGTGGATGCAAGAGGTCTTCTCTGTATTAAAAGTAAAACCATTGGTCTTGGACCAATTGTCTATGCGATTTAGGGAGGTTTGCAGTTGTCTCTCAATGGTTGGTTGGTTGGTTAAGGTTTTTTTGGCGCAAGGGCCCTTTAGGCCATGCTGCGCCATGACAAAAGGTAAAATATAACAAAACTAAATATATATAACACAAAATATAAATATGACACAAAAACGTAAATAGAAACAAACAAACAAAACAACAAAATAGATATAACCATATAATAAATAAATAAATAAATATATAAATAATTAATTAAATTTCTTTATAAATATTTACGACTTTCAAAAAGTTCAGTATCTTATCAAGATTTGGCCTCTGGCCCAAAATCTCTTTAAAACTTGCATTTCCAAAATGCTGTCTACGTATCCTCTCAGAGGCAATGCAGTTGTAAAGTATGTGTTTAACACTTACAGTACAGTTACAATATTGGCATAATGGCTGATCTTCACCCTTCAAAAGGTACAGATGAGTCAACCGAGTATGCCCAATTCTCAAACGAGTAAGAATTACTTCAGATCTCCTGTCATACTGTTTATTACGTGTCCAATTTTCTATATTCGGCTTGATCTCGTGTAGTTTATTGTGGATTTGTGCATTCCACATGTTTTGCCATCGCTCTGCTAGTCGTTTTTTAACAACTAGCTTCAAATCACCTCCTTCAATAGGCATTATATGCTGTGAAGGACTAGCTGCCTTTGCAGCTGCGTCCGCTTCTTCATTTCCTTTTATACCTACATGGCCTGGGACCCAACAAAATTTTACAAAGAAATTACTTGCAATAAGATGGCAAAACAGTTTATGAATTTTAATCACTATGGAGTGGGAACTAGGTTCACACGAGATCAAAGCCTGAAGTGCACTAACTGAGTCAGTGTATATAACACAGCAACGATGACCTTTCCTATTTATATACTTTAGAGCTAAATAAATAGCATGCAACTCTGCAGAAAAGATAGAAGAATTTGATGCAATTTGTTCTGCCACAATTTCATCCTGGCAGACGAAAGCTGAGCCAACGTAATCATCAGATTTAGATCCATCTGTATAAATAGGAATTAAATTCCTGTCACAATGTTGAATTTCTGCAAAGTGCTGTCTATAGACGTAGTCTGGTGTGGATTCCTTAGGAAACTGCTTTAAGCTAAGGTCAACATTTATCACAGGAGTTGACCAAGGAGATATACTACAGACCTCTAGCTGTGAAATGTTGCTTGTGTTAAGGTCAATCGTGCTACTCACATTCTCCGTTCTTATGGGGAATGTAGGGACACAACTAGGGCGAGTTTCAAATAACCTTTTCAGCTGAGTATCTAATACTCTATAATCGACTGAAGGTTTAGAGTTAGATTTCTGCTTTATATAGTAAAATAGAGACAACTGTTCTCTCCTAAGAGACAGTGGAGGCTCATAAGCATCCACATACAAACTTTGGACAGGGGAAGTTCGGAATGCACCAGTGCACAAACGCAGTGCTTGATGATGGATTGGATCCAGCATCCGAAGAGTAGATTCTCGCGCAGAGCCATAAACAATGCATCCGTAGTCCAGCTTAGAGCGGACAAGGGCCCTATAAATCCTGAGCATAGAAACTTTGTCTGCTCCCCAGGATGAGCAGCATAATACCTTTAAAAGGTTTAGAGATTTTAAACATCTACTCTTCAGGTTGCGCAAGTGTGGCAAGAATGTCAGTTTTTTGTCAAAACAAACACCCAAAAACTTAGTCTCATTAACAATTGGAATTTTAACTCCATTTAAATATATTTCAGGATCCAGGTGCAAACCACGCCTTCGGCAAAAGTGAATGCACGAGGTCTTCTCTACGTTGAAACTAAAACCATTGGTCTTGGACCAATTTTCTATGCGATTTAAAGAGGTTTGCAGTTGTCTCTCAATGAAACTCATGTTACTAGACTGGCAAGAGATCTGAAAGTCATCCACATACAAAGAGTGTTTCACACTAGGGGGAAGACAGTTAGCTATGCTGTTAATTTTAATTAGGAACAGAGTCACACTCAAAATAGAGCCTTGAGGAACACCTTCTTGTTGTGTGAAAGGCCTAGATAAAGTGTTGCCCATCCTGACATGAAATCTTCGATTCTGTAGGAAGTTTTTTTATCAAAATCGGCAAATTACCCCGCAATCCGAATTCGTACAGATCACGGAGTATCCTGTATCGCCAACAGCGATCATAGGCCTTCTCTATATCGAAAAATACAGACACTAAGTGCTGTCGTCTAACAAACGCTTCGCGTATAGATGTTTCAAGGTTTACTAAGTTATCAGTGGTACTTCTGTTCCTACGGAATCCACTCTAATGTGGTGAAAAATAGTTCTTTACCTCTAAAAGGAACATCAGGCGTCTGTTTACCATTCTCTCAAAGAGTTTACACAGACAACTTGTCAGAGAGATTGGTCTGTAATTAGAGGGATTCTTGTGGTCTTTACCAGGCTTGAGAATGGGAATAACTATAGATAGCCTCCAAGAGTCAGGAAAAGTATGTTCTGTCCATATTCTGTTAAACAGACACAGAAGATTACAAAGGGAATTGTTTGACAAATTTTTAATCANACGGCAAACACGTGGGTGGGCGTTCAGATCCCAGGGATGGTGAAGAAGAGTATCTAAACCATCTCTGGGAGGTCCCCTCACCACGGACAGGAACCCACATCGAGGGGGCTGGAAATAGAACAGAAAGAAATGAAAGAAGAAAAACTTTTATATGTACAAAATGTTATCGTTTATTTTTCATTCTTACACTATAAATATCCTCACCAGGCTATTTAGAATATAACCCTTGACGTAAACAGCCAGTCCGGTAATTTCGGTAAAAATCGAAACTTCCTTTTTGACTCACTCTCACACAATTTAAAAGAGTATTAGTTGAAATTCACAAAACAGCTTCGCACACCTGGTGCTGGCTTGGGGAGCTGCGGCCTGCATGCCAAAGCCAGTAGGGCAAGGAGTCGTACTCCCGTAGCCGAAGCCTCGCTGGTGGCCAGGGGGTAGCGCTTACAGTGGATCGTAGGACCCTGCTAGCTGGTATCTATCCTGACGGGCAGTCGGCAAAGCCGCTCCTCAAACATAGGGCCAACTTCCTTATGTGCTTGGGGGGAGCGGTGTTTAAAGGCCTGACATTGCGTTGGATGGCCGTATATGATCTCGGAGGGCTAGAAACAAGAAGAGCATCTCCTAGTAGGGATGATGGGGCGGCCCAAACCGAGCAACCAGCCAGGCTGGGGTAACCTTGGGTAGGAGGCCATTTAAATGGGTAGCTGTCCCGGCAGCGGGCTAAGCAGTGACGACCCGGCAATAAGAGGGCCAAAACGAGCCCTCGGTATGTCCGAAGTCAGAGCTGGCTCTTAAACGCATACTTTAATTCTCGAACAGAGTCAGGGCACCCGTGAAAGGTCAAGTTCACCCTAATCCCCTCTTTTTATTTCAATTATTATGATGGCTAAGGATAAAAGTGTGAGCGAATGCGTTAAGGCTGTGTCTTGTGCAAACGTTGCGACTGGTTCCTTAAGCGATCAAGGAAGTAATGTGGTGGAGGAAGCACGTGTGGAAGGCAACGATATGACAAACGCCAAGCGACAGGAGAAACGGACTTTGCGTTCGCGCAAGCCCGCCAATGATCAGGCACACGAGCCCAAGCGAGATAGGCAAACAGATGCTGTAATAGTATCGGTCCCTTCAGGGAGCAGCGGGTCTGATTCCGACTCGTCTGGCTCCGGTTCAGGGGATGTCTTTGATTCCGCTTCCTCGGGAGAGGAAAGCGAGTGGAAGCCCACGCCTTCCAACTCCAAGTCCAGAAAGAGAGAAAGACGAACAAAGGCGGCCAAAGCTAAAGCGGCAAAACCTGAAGGCGACAAGCAAAAAGGGGAACCCGCTAAGGCTGCAATGACCGTGGAGGAGGAGAAACCCTCCACCAAAAGCAAAGATGGGTCAAGGACTAAGTCCAAGAAAAACCCTACTGCAGCGGTGGCCGGGGATACAAGTCCGGCCACCGAAGCTGAAACACCGTCGTCGGCACCTGTAGCAATACAGGAAAAGCTTGAGACAGTAGAGGATCGACGTATTGCATTAGATGGAGTGCACAGCGAGCTGACAAAGCTCTTGGGCAAAACCGACAATAGGTGTCAAAAGTCCACTTGTGCGACCATCTACAGTCTCTTCAACAAGATAGCGATGATTCTCAGTGCCCAGGATATCAAGATTGCCTCTCTCCGGGCTGAAAACCAAACCTTGAAAGAGGTCGTGGGTATCTGAAAGCCGCCCAATACGCTTCCAGTTGCAGTTAAAGACGGCAAGGCAGCCAAGGCTGGTAGCACCTCGTACGCTGCCATCGCCGCCCGCCCGGCCTCAGCATTTAGCCAAGAGGGGCCATGGGTTGTGGCTGCTAAGCCACAGGTAATCGCCAGGAAGCCTCCGTTAGACATCTCTATTAGGCAAAAGCGGGATTTACAAAGAGCAAAATGGGGAGACGTATTGGAGCTTAATAATCAAACAATTACTCATGATGATATTGAATGGCCATTTCCGTATTGTGATACCATATATTACGGCATTCCACCGAATTGTAATAGTGATAATAGCTGTCCTCAAGACATAAATGTATTTACTGATGGTTCAAAACACAATGATATGGTGGGCTGTTCTTTTGTGGCCTATGTTAATGACATTGAAATATACCATCGAACAATTCGGCTAAATAATAATTGCACAATATTCCAGGCAGAGCTTTGTGCCATCAAGATGGCAATCACCTGGATATGTCATACTCAGAATTGTGCAAATATACACATTTACACAGATTCCCTGTCTGCCTATAATATTATTAATAGCACTAAATTACACCCTATTGCCGAGGAGATACGAAGGCTTATACATCTATCCACATGTCATTTTAATATTTTATGGACTAGAGCTAGAGCAGATACTTTGGCAAAACAAGCTGCCGAAGATATTACCTTGCCAATTGAATACGAAAAAATCAGCCTTGGTACAATAAAGCGCCTATTATGAAAAACACTATGTCTGGCAAAATGAATGGAATTTAAATAATACACACATAACCTACGAGTTTATACCTGATTTGAAAAAATTTTGTTCTCTTGAATGGTTCTCACCTGATCATGTCACAACTCAACTTTTTACCAACCATGGGAAATATGCAAGTTATTTAACATTATTTACAAATCGGCATAATGACCAATGTCCTACGTGCTTAGTAATTGATAGCTCAAAGCATTACTTTTATCAATGTGTAATGTTTGAGCTGGAAAGAATGGAATTGAAAATAGTAATGACAGAATATGGGATTGAATGGCCATGTAGGCTCTCTGATATTTGGGCTAATAAGATTATTTACGATGCTTTCGTTAGATTAGCCAGAAGTATTAACACGATAACTAACAAGATTATACATAATTAACTATTCACCAACGTTGCATTATCATCATTTGTAAATTTCANCTTTTTTTCCTCTACATGATGTCTGTGAGTGTCCAAACCGCTGACATCTAAAGCAACGCAGCGGGTTTGGAATGTATGGGCGTAGTGGGCAACGGAGATATCCTGCCGTAACAGAAGATGGCAAGGTTGGTTTGTTAAATGTCAATATAAGGTGTTTTGTTGGTATCAACTTGCCATCTCGACGAATGGAAATGCGTCGGACTGCAGTGACACCTTGGTCTGACAAACCAATTTGGATATTTGATTCGTCTTCTGACATCAGATCTATTTCGGATATCACCCCACGTGATGAGTTTAGACTTCCATGTGGGGTTACAGTAACTTCCATGTCTCCCATTGTCTTTGTTGCCAATAGTTTTACTGATTGTTGAGGTGAGGCTGTTTCTATCAGCAGGTCCCCTGACCTCAATTTCTGGATCTTTTTCAAGTGTCCAACAGTTGATTCAAATAATTTTTGAATGAGAAATGGAGAGCATTTCGAAAGAGGTTTTTTTCCAGTAGCATGTACTATCAAGTAGGATGGCTGACTGGATGTCTTTTCATTTGTCGTTGCTGGTGTATCTGATCGTTTTGGGTTTTTTCAATCCATAATTATATATAAATATTCGACTCCTAGTGACCCCACCCACCATGGGGCCCAACAAGGGGATGCCGTCACATGCGAGACTCCCATAGACCGTCACACCAGGGTTTCCCAGGAGCTATACCCTCACAACGCAGTCAAGAAGAGCACATCTTGTCTGACGTGTCCACCCGGTCTGCATTGATCAGTTGACTCCAAGCCGAGGTCAAGAATGACTCAACGACCAGCCGATTGACTCAAACGGAGCCTGATTTGAGCCTCCCGTTTATCCGAAGCAGGGGCCAAAGCAGTGTGTTGGGGAAGTTATGTTGCCCCTCAACTACCAGTCCCCCTTTCCGGCATACGGGACACCACGTACGGCAAACACGTGGGTGGGCGTTCAGATCCCAGGGATGGTGAAGAAGAGTATCTAAACCATCTCTGGGAGGTCCCCTCACCACGGACAGGAACCCACATCGCCTGGAATGCGACAATTAAATCGTCTCGCACCCCGTTCCTTGGTCACACTGGTCCTATCTACATAATAAGTCATCAATATATTGACTTTAGCTCGATAGCCGGTTTCCGTCCCAGGGGGAGTGTGTGGTCCCGGCCTCACAGGAGGATGAGCGGCAGCAGACTCCGAAATGGAAAGTTGGGAAGCGCTGCAGAAGGAGGCCATAAGAATCGGATCGGCAAAAGAATCCGATCGTTGATTATAGAAAAGAAAACCCCGAAACAGACACGATTTGTTCTAAAAGGAGAACGGCTGCAGAAAGAAGCCGAGATGAGGAACGGTAGAGAACCAACAGAAAAATTGGGTACTCTTTGTTTTTTAATTCTTCCTGTTTTTCTATCTTTTCTATCTCTTAGTTTAATTAAGTTTTAAGTTAGTTTTAGTTTATGCACACAACTAAATTTTCGGGAGGTAGTTACTGAGAAAGAAACTACCGGTCTATTGGTACATCTGATTGCTCGGGATTTTGGAAACGGCGGGAATCCGAACTTATTCTGTATATATATTAATGTTAGCGTGAAATTAAACTTGTTTAATTAGTAAAACGTGTCTGTGTTTTCCTGTCCGTGCTGTACCCTCTCTAAATGGGGGTCCATTGCTTGTGCCCAAACCAGGCAATGGCCCCAACTCGTACGTACCAGCCTTGTCGTGGCAGAGGGGCTCAGTACCCAGGGGACATGCTGTAATGGTATGTGTCCTGGGGAAGCCACTGGTGCAGCGGGGGATTCAGGTGTAGGTGTAGTTTCTGAAGCTATGTCAGGTGCTTAGATTGCTTGCCCCGGGGAGAGTGGATTGAAGGCAATCCCCGAGGGTACAGGGGATAAACTGGGGGTGGTACACCTGGGGCGTTCCATAGTGAGGGGCCCGGCATGTCCTAGCCAGTCGGTGCTGGCAGCCCGATCATGGGGTGGATAATCTTGCCCCCTGCCAGAGTGCAGGATGGCGCCCTGGACAGGACCCTCTGGCAGGGGGTGGGGGCCTCTCCCGAGGCCACGGGGATTGCCTTTGGTCCTACTCATAGGCTCTGGGGGTGGTTGGGTGCTTGGCATGGTTGGGGAGCTATGCCTGCACCTGGGTCTGGGGGGATTTTTGGGGTATTCTCTTTAAATTAATTATGGAAGGAAAACAAAAACAAAAACAATTACAAGTACCGGGGGATGGGGGGGACTATCCTGGGTCCCATATTCCTAGAAGAGTAAGTAAAAGTTTAAGTGAGATAAGTTGAGAGCTGGATATACATCGAATGGAGGAGGTGGATTCTATGGATAGTTTAGAACAGTTGGAAATAGTGCAGTCGCAGTTATATAAGGTATGTATGGATAAAGGTAATAGATTAACTATAGCTGTTACTGAGAAGTTGCAAGAATTATTTGGTGAGGTTTCTAATGTAGTTAAATCTTTACTAATAGAAAATGAGAGATTAAGAGGAAAATTGGAATTTATTCAGGAGAAAAATATTCAGGTTAAAGTAAGTGATACTGTAACATATGCAGATAGAGTTAAAGGTATAATGTCTAATGAGTTGGATAAAAATAAAAAACCCGTAGTAGTTATAGTAAAGGGTAAAGAGGAAGATAATAGTGACGAGGTTAAAAGGAAATTTTTAACAGGGATAAATCCAAGTAAAGATAAAATTAGAATGATAGGAGTACGTAAGTTAAGAACTAATGGTATATTGGTTACATTAGCTAGTTTACAAGATAGATAGAAAGTGTTGAAACATAAAGTATTGGAAAAAGCGGAATTAGTTATGGAAGTTCCTGTAAGGTGGTATCCTCGGATGATGTTGGTAGATGTCCCTAAAGAGATAGGTGAAGATAAATTAATTAAAATAATATATGATTTAAATATAGATATGATAGGTGAGGATATGAGTTATGATGCTTTTAAATCTAGTTTTAAATTATTATATAGAATAGGTAGACATCGGGATTATTTGACAAATTGGATTGTTGAGGTAGCTCCTTTATTGAGGAATAAAATCAATTTAATAGGAAGGTTATTTGTAGAATATCGATGCTGTGTGATTCGTGACTATTATGAGATAGCTAAATGCTATAAATGCCAATTATTTGGTCATCTGGCTAGAAATTGTAGGAGTGATGTAGATGTATGTTATAAGTGCGGACAGAAAGGACATAAGTCTAAAGAGTGTGTTAATGATAGTGTTAAGATTTGCGTTCCATGTAGACAAATAAATAGAATATGTAATCATATTTCCAGGGAAAAGGATTGTTATTCGTATCAGGTGGCCATATCAAGATATAAAGAACAGGTAGATTATGGATAATATAGTAAAAGATAATATTAATTTAGGAATAACTCAAGTTAATACGCAAAGAAAGAAATCGGTACCTGGTGAATTACTCCAATTAGTTGATAAAGGTATGGTAAATATGTTGTTAATACAGGAACCATATGTGTATAAAGACAAGGTAGTAGGATATGGGTTACATACACGTGTAGTTCAGTGTACGGCTGGTACTCCCTGGGCTGCGATTGTTGTTACTGATAGTACATGGACAGTATTAAGTTTACATAATTTATCATCCACTACTTGTGCAGCTGCACAAGTTTTAAGAGAGGATGATGTATTTTATCTGGCTAGTTTCTACTTTCCTCCTGGTGGAGATATAGAGCAATCAATTATTGAGTTAGATAAAATTTTATCTTTATTTCATGGAAAAAATTATATAATAGCGATAGATTCAAATGCAAAGTCTACAGTTTGGGGTTCATCAATTACAGATAATAGAGGTTGGATATTAATGGACATAATATCAAAATGGAATTGCGTAGTGGTTAATAGAGATAATATAATCCCTACTTTTTCATCTACATTGGGTGAGTCATTTGTAGATATTATGTTAACATCTAGTAATATAGATAGGAGAATATCTAATTGTTTTGTTACATATGAATATACTACGTGTGATCATGCTATTATTAGTTGTAATATAAGTTTGATGTCTAGGTATATTGAGACTAAATATCGAATATATAGGGATAATGAGAAAATTAATTGGGATAAATTTAGAGGTATTTTGTCTAGGATAATAGGGTCTTATGGTACGTCATGGGTTGATGATAGGATAGGTGTGTTTAAATATTGCACTCATATACACAGATGTTTAGAAGTAGTATGCGTTTGATACATTCTGAAGTATAAAAATTAATTAGTATATAAAAATATATATAACACATTTTTTCAAAAAAATTTTTTTGAAATTAATAAAAAAATTTTTCAAATAATATCGAAATAAAGACTTATACGGTGTAGATTTTATGTAATTTGTATAAGAATTTAATAATATAAATCGATAACACAAGTTTTTTTTAAAAAAAATTCGAAACTCTCTCTCTCTCTCTCTCTCTCTCGTTTATATGGAGATTGCAGCCTATATCGCATTTTCTCCGACGTGCAGCGCCACCTTATTTGGTAAAGCGACCCGATCGATGAATATACTGTTCTAGAAGGTGTATATGATACTTCGAGAACATGTCGGCCTGTGGCCAATACAGAGGAGACAATGTACGCACAGTCTGTAAATTCAGTCGTAAGTGTTTCAGTAGGTCCATGCGAATCGTAGTATACTCTGGACACCTTAGCCAGAAATGTTCAGTAGTTTCTGCCTCCCCACAGAACAAACAGTTAGGGGACGGGACGATACCACGCGAATAAAGAAAGTCATTGAGTGGGCCGTACCAGTCCGTAGTTTCGCCAGGAGTGTTTCCGCTTGCCGCAATGAAGCGTGGTGATAAGGCCACGGGTAAAAAGGACGGAGATACTCCCTACCCCTGTTCCTATGGACCGCAGCCCAGTGGTTCCGTAATGAATTACATGTGTCCTGCCATACCAACCGATGAATGTCCTTAGGCAACAGCGGGCCCCTCCAGGAACCGGTTAAATTCGCTCCCTTCGCTGCCTTATCCGCGTCTTCGTTGAGTGCAATACCGACGTGCCCCGGAGTCCATAACATCACAATAGGCTGAGGAAAGGACGAGACTGCCGCCGCAATATCGATGATGATCGCATCCGAAGTATACCCCACGTTAGCCAACGCCTCTAGCACTGAACGACTGTCTGTACATATAATGGTCGGACAAGGGTTTTGGGAACACAAAGCCAACCCCCGCAAAACACCAGCAGCTTCCGCCCCGAAAACTCCACACTGAGCGTCCAATTCCCACGACTCACTCCTCCGCCCCTCTGATATGAAGACGCCCATCGACGTCCGATTGGGTGACTTCGACCCATNNNAAGTTATTTTTATGTTATATAATCAAACAAAGTTTTCCATCAACGTGTTCCATGGCAATTACTCCATTTCAGCAATTGTTCTTTCTCAGTCTTTTTCTTTGTAACAATATTTTCGTTTCTCTACACTGTTTTTTAATCAATCTGTAAATACTTTTACCATTTTCTCCTGAATATTACCATTTTCTTTTTCATCCTTTCATTAACCAATTATTTTTTCTATTGAATATATTTTTTTCACAAATAATTGAAGTAAAGTATTAGTGCCGATTTTACAGCAAAATATCATAAATCTGTAATAAATCGATTACATTAAAAATATTTCTAGTTACGTTTGATAGTTTGAAAATTTAATTTTATCAATATTTTATTTTATTTTTTGCAAACAAATATAATAAAATGGCTAGTGTTGCTGTTATTCAGGAGAGACAGTAGTCTGCAGACCTGAAAATTAGTCTGCAGTATTGGAATTCTGTTATAAAAATGCCTATATATATTTACAGTTTATACGTTTTCTTATAGTTTTTTTAAAATTTTTGCTTAACTGACATCAAATGTCTGTTAAGCAATGTACAAGCTGTTCCGGCAGGTAAAAATTTCAGATAATTTCTTTTTACTTGTTCTCAATTTGATAGAGATTACAAATGAAGAAAAATTATAGTATTTAAAATTTATTACTATAATTGATTAATTATAAACACTTTTAACAGGAGATTTTAACAATTCCTATGTTTGGAAAATATCAGGAATCAGGGTAAATAAATACATTTCATTTACTGTATCAATAAACTTATATAATCAAATAATTACTTATAAATTGCGTTTTTTTCTGTCTCAGCGTCCAAGGTACATGAAATATGACGAAACCGAAACACAAATAACAGGTGGAACGTTTTTTCCGGTTTTTAAAGTTATCCAAGATAAACTAAGATTTAGGTGAGTTGCAAAGTAAAACGATCTTAGTTAAAAACAAAAATTATTTTTCGTTTGGATTTTAAAGAGTTAAGTACTGTGAGCGAAAAGAATAGTTCAAAACCGTCATTTCTGCTTAAATTACTCAACTCGAAAATCTATCGCTACTTTTCTATCATTTGTGTAAATCATTATGAAATTCTTTTTATATAGAAGTTGGTTTTAAAGAGTTAAATGAAATTTTAAACAATACAACATAGAAAAAAATACTGTGGCTGTAGGCTGAAAATTAAAAGTTATTACGCTTTGTAATTGATTGCAATGTTATTTACGAGAAAAAAGTTTTTTTATAGTAAAGTTGGATTAAAATGCTTAAAGCATTAAAATGTCTAAATCACTTAGAATGGTAATTGATTATAAACAAATACGATAGAATTAAATATATATGTTTGCGTATTTGAATGTATTATGGTAATAAATATTTTGATACATGACATGCTTCTAGGAATCACAGCAGTATCGCTTGAGTATCTCAACTGCTGTATATGTAGTAACAGTTGACATAAGAGATATTGTAAACAGAAATACTCAAAGTATAGAAGTTAATGTTTGCATGAATGTTGCATTTGACAGACAAAAAATTCACATAGTGTGAGATCAGCCACAAGTATAGGGTTGATCCTATACCTCTTACAGGCTCAGATTAACCGAAATCTGTTCTCTGGGTTTCGGATCGAGAGATCCGATCCTAATCAGGATTTTGACCGGGAGGGCTTTTAATATTAGGTCTAAGGAGGATTGAAGACGGTAAAGTCTCTATCCGAATTTGTAGGTTCCCGACACCAGTTTATCAGTTATTTTACACGCGGATAAACAGGCGTGGGGCAATCTTATTCAGATAATAATTTAGAAACATTTTTTAATAAAATAAACAAGTGTAAATTTATTGAATTTACTGGTTATAGCTGTATTTATTCGATTGTGATGGTTGTCTCTTTAATCCTTTTGGTAGACTATCTCACAGCAAAGGTTAATAAATTCTTTTATTAGTATTCACATATGCATTTCGAACCGGTATAACATTTCCGGTTCCTCTTCAGTGTTCTACAATTATAAAAATTAAAATTGACATACAAATTAAAAACTAACAAAGTAATTTGCCAAGTAACATAACATAAACATTACAAATACCTCTAAGGGTTTTACACATTTCCTTTTTCATTCAGTTGGATCGTTACTTACTAAAACAATAGTACAAGGAGTAAAAAGTAATATGATGAAATTATCTCTATAAAAACAAAATAAAAATTAAGTGGTAAATATTTCAAAAAAGGAAAAGGGTTTTTTTATAAAATATGCACACTGACCTTTTTTGGTTTAATATGCTTTGAAAAATATTCTATTCATTAATTTTAGATTTGGGTTCGCAATATAATTAAACATTTCTATAAATAACAATTTACAATGACAATATGAATAAACATCGTAACAAGCAAGTTGTACAAAGATNTTTGGTTTAATATGCTTTGAAAAACACTCAATATTTTTAGATTTGGGTTCGCAATAATTAAACATTTCTATAAATAACAATTTACAATGACAATATGAATAAACATCGTAACAAGCAAGTTGTACAAAGATTTTATAAAAGTATACATACAGGTTTCATTCTTTCTAATATTGTAAATGCACAAATGTCAACTTACACGAGGTAACTTACACAAAGTAACCTTTACAATCATACTTTTAGTGTTAAGTATCACAAAAAAATTTTATTTTATTGGTCTATTGCCACGCCCTCTATGATGTCGTACCACTGTTGTTCTATTTGCATGCCATTAGAGATATTTATTAAATTATTGTTTTTATTTTTTATTATTTCAATATGTTCTTTGAATTTTCTTTTATATATATTTTTTTCTGTGTGTAAGATTTTAATATTATTTCTATCAATTTTACATTTACTATTTTTAATATGGTTATACCAGGGAGAGTTGTTATAATTTAATCTAATGGCAGCTTCGTGTTCTTTAATACGTGTCTCTAATGTACGACCAGTTTCACCTATATAATATTTCGGGTTTTGGCAATTACAATTGATTTTATATACAACACCAGTTTTCTTCAATACATCATTATTAAATTTGTCTGTTTTTGATCTATTAATATGAACATTCTGTGAGATTTTGTTGGTCAAAGCTGGGGCCAATGCCACATTCTCTTTTTTAAGATTTTTATTACAATTATTAAAAATATTATCAATGTATGGGAAGGGTTTATATGTTTTGTCTTTTTTAATTTTTGTATTAAACCTATTTTTATCATATTGTGTTTTCCATATCATCAAAGTTTTCTTGGGATAACTATTTAAAATGAATTTCTGTTCTAATTCTTTTAATTCAATTTTTCGGTCATTTTCGTTGGTGGTTCTTGTATATATATTTTTTAATTCCATTATATATGTATTCTTTTTTACTGTCTGTGGAATGCTAGAGTGATAGTTTATTGTTTTATTTACATTGGATGGTTTTTTATAAGTATTAAACGTAAATTTATCTGTTTCATTATTTATTGTTATATCAAGAAAATTAATTTTATTATCTTTTTCCAATTCTATATCAAATTTAATATCATTATTTATACTATTAACTGTGTTAAGAATTATTTTATCATTAGTTATTTTATTATTAAATATTACTAAATAGTCATCTACGTACCTCATTACGGTCTTTATCCCTGGGATGTTTTGTATTTTTTTGTCTATTTCTATCATTACTAATTCAGCTAGTTTTGGCCCCATCTTTGACCCCATACTCACACCATCGGTTTGCCTATAGAATTCATTATAGACTTCAAAATAATTTCTCTGATATGCAAATTGTGTTAAATCTATTAAAGTTTTACTTATGTTTAAATTTGTGAGGCTATCCCGTACAAGTTTCCATTTTATGTTAGGGTACATATTTTTTACATCTAGGCTGATTAATGTGTCTGTTTTTTCTTTTTTAATTTTTTGAATAATATTAATTGCTTCATCAGCATTTTTTATGCTATTTTTAGAATTTTCAATACTTTTTAATTTTTGTTTAATATAATTTTCTAAATTGTATAGTATCGAGTATCTAAAATCAACTATTGGTCTATATTTTTCTTCTTTTTTGTGTGTTTTCAACCGTATATGTAACTTGGGGGTTCTATTATTATTAAAATTAATTATATTATTTTTATCCGTATCACTAATATTACCTTTCGAATGCATTTCTTTTACAATTTTTGTTAAATCCTTTTTTATTTTTTCATATGGATTATTAACTAATTTAGTATATTGTTCATTGTCAATTTGTTCTTTACTTTTATTTTCTAATTCTTCATTAGTTATTATTATGAGTTGTCTTGTTTTATCAGCTTTTATGATAGCAAGGTTATTTGTTTTTAAAAAATTTATAGTTTTATTTAAGTTTGTTTTATATTTATTTACTTTAAATTTATTCTTTTGGGATATATGTTTTATATCTTGGATTACGGAATTTATTAATTTAGTTTTCTTATCCTTTTTTATCGGCAAGTCTTTTATACTTTTGTCTATACTTGCTATTAGATCCATAGTTATTTTCTCAATAGGTATATTAAAATCAATTCCTAATGTTAGGAATTGTTTTATGTAAGTAGGGATTTGTATGTTAGTTTTATTAACAATTAAATTATTTATCCACATATTTTTCATTTTAGGGACCGGATATTTAAATAATTTATGTAATTTAAGATCTTTTCTATATTTGTATCCATTTGCAATGCCTTTGTGTGGGTTTTCTTTGTAACTATGTTGTTGTAATAATTTTCTTAGTTGGTATTTTAAATTGGTTAATTTTAATTTTAGTTGGTATTTCAAGTGTAAATTTAATTAAACGTAAACAAATAATGGGAATACAAATATATGATAAGGAGACTACCACTACTAATTATAGTCTATAAGTCGTGCGAGATAGGAACTTATATCTAACCGATACACGATTGAGTGAGAAAGCTCACAAAATCATTTACAAACATACAACCTGATCATTGTCTTTACTCTTCGGCTCTGTATATGAAGTATTCGTTCACTCCTCGAATTCTCTGTCTTCTTTCCTCTGAAGAGATCAACTAAACTAAGTGTATTTCTAGACTCAATCCTTCGTATATAGTATGGCTCATAGTTTAGGCGTTGGCCTTTAAGAGCAAGTATGTATGGAGTCCTAACTCTTCTAGGTCCGTCGATAAACTCCCCGAATTCTGATAAATTCCCGCTATATCTCGTGATTGACGACCAATCATCTGCCAGAAACTCTTTCATGTGAACGGATGAAAGGAGAATCAAAGAGGGGTAAATAGTTCCCATCTGAGCGAAATTTTTAGCGGATAAGGGAAAAACAGTACGAACTTCCTCAAAAGAAGTAGCATCTGTTATCTATCTTTCCCACGTTGAAAAACGTTAATTTCTCACCAAACTGAAATAATATTTTGTGACAATATTAAACATTATTAATAAAGTTACTGTTTTAGACCCAGGGGCCTTTCAGGTCTCACAATAATCTTTGTGACAAATATACAGAAAACACAAGTGCAGAATACAACAAGTTCATACAAGTGATGGAAAATATACTGACAAAACGAAAATACGAGAAAACAGAATACATTTGAGTATAAACAAAGATTTAACAGAAATAGCTAATAGTTCAAGATTAAAATGCAGCATGAATAAATTGAAAACAAAATATTTATATATGGCAAAAAGCAAAGAAAAACAAACGAACATAGCCGAACCTAGAATAAAAGTATAGATATGGTTAGCACATGTAACATTCAAAGATATAAAACCAAACTAATCTAAGAAATGATAAATATGATATTAAATATAATGAAAATTCATAAACCAGAAGAAATGAAAAATCCATTTCTCTGTATTGATCGTGAAATTCTCTAAATCCCAGATAATTTCTATTGTTAGATAATAAAGGAAAAATAGAACAATTTATTAAATAGGAAATTATAATTACCGAAGCGTAAGACAATTTGATCATTATAAATTGACAAATATGAATGACGTTTGTATGCTGCCACAGATGCAAAACTGTTAGTTAGCATTATGCAATTGACAAAAAAATCATATAAAAATTTCCAAATATATAGGTATTTCGTGTGATTTTGCAAATACCAAACAATTGGAAAACAGGATCCATTTATAACATGCGAAATTTTCAACTAAAAATTTTTCAAACTCGCAAACTATGTTAGACAGAAACCATAAATGATGTCGTCTGGAGAATTTTCTTAATTTTGAAACAATGTAAGGGCGAAACCGTGTTGCATAACTGCCGATTTGTACGAAAAATATGGGTATTTTACTGAGTTATCGATCATCATAAAATGAAATCATTGCACTATTGTAAGAATATGCGGTAATATTAAAATTTTTTTATTGATTTCAGATATTATATAAATAATTTTCGTATTTGTAAAAGATATATACAGTATATTCTTATTATATTAATTATATTCTTATTAATACCTATGCTGAAAAATCTTATGTACATATCTAAGTATAAAATTCAATTAGTTATCGTGTAGTGTATCCGATTCCCACTCAACTAGGGTATTCAAAATATAATGGTACGTGGACTGGAATTACAAAACAAGTTGTAAATCAGGTGAGTAAACTCAAAATACAAGTAAGTTATGTTTAAAATACTATAACAATTAGACAATTAGGATGTGATCTCCTTTACTAAAAAGAATCAGAAAAAAGCAATTTTTTGAAGCGATTGCGTTTATCAAATTATGTAATTTTTATACCAAAAAATAATTTACTGCCATAACAATTAAGTAGTAAAACTTATCGATTATCGCTAAAATATTCATGTGTTTTTTAAAATGTTACCAAGAAATTGTAAATAAAATTATGTATAACTTATGTATAAATCAAATTATAACATGTCGCTATTAGTTAAAATTTCGTTTTAAAAAATCGAAAATTTATTTTTATACAACTTAAACAAGTTCCCATATATATTGTACACTTCGTGCGTTTTTATTTCTACAATAATACAAAAAATTAACAAAAAGAAACATTCTGGTCTGCAGACAATAAACCCTTAAAATTGCTACAAACAATATTGTAAAGTATATTAAAATTTAATTGTAAATTTACTAACAGTTTGTGTTTTATAATGAATTTTATAAATTTAGGAAGCAGATATCGCTTTTGTACCAACGGGGATCACTTACGATCTTTTTTCAGCGATACAGTTTTCGTCCACACTTGGACTTTCTGAGAACATTTTTATCATTAGAGCTCCAAATAAAGCTTCTGATTGGAATTCTCTAATGAAGCCTTTTGCCTTGGACGTAAGTCACTGTAACATCTTAATTCATATTATATTCAAATTGAAACTATATTACTTACGTAATTAGATATGGATCGCTGTATTCTCAACTGTATTAATATTTGGACTGTCCCTGCATTTA